TCAGAAAGCAGAGCGGGGCCCTGCGCCACCCTTGAGAGTCCCAACTCAGTCCTGGTGGCTTCCCGGGGTATCCTTGGCCATTCGAGCCCTGGACGCGGGCGGGAGGGTGGGGGGAGCCCAGGCGGAGGGGGCGCGGCTCCAGGCGGCCAGGTGAGTGCGGGGCCACCTGGCCGGCCGGGGTAGCAGGGATGATGGAGGAGGCATCCGCTGTTGCGAGCAAAGCTTAACCGGTGAGAGGCCTGCGCTCTTGCCGTCGGGCAGGCGCCGGGCTCAGAACTGGCTGGCGCTGCTGGGGTCGCACTGCAGCAGCCGCACGATGGACGGGTCGCTCTTGGCACCTTTGATGAACTCCTCCAGGGACAGCTTGCCTGGGGGGGGGGGGGGGCGGGAGTCAGCGGTGCTCGCGGGCTTTCCCTCCCGAGCACGGGGACCCCTGAGCCACCCCCTGGGCCATGTGAGCCTCGCGAGGCCGGACGCCATCCCGGTGGCGCTTGCTTCGTGGGTGTTTCGGGAAAACCCTTTTGCTTCCCCTGCTCACTGCTGACGGGCACACCCAGTGTGGCCACATGCGTGGCCGGTGGCGATTTCAATCCTTTAGAGTCGCCCCACGCTTTACCTAAGGAAGGTGTGACTTGTCCAGAAAACACAGGGCCTCTGCCTCTCACCCGTAACCGAGCCAGGGCTGGGGGGCCTGAAGCAGCCCGGCCCAGGATGACCGCCCACGGGGGTGGCCCGGCCCAGGGTGACCGCCCATGGGGGGCGGCCCGGCCCAGGGTGACCGCCCACAGGGGGTGGTCCGGCCCAGGGTGACTGCCCACAGGAGTTGGCCCGGCCCAGGGTGACCGCCCACGGGGGGTTGGGAGTGGCCCGGCCCAGAGTGACCGCCCATGGGGGGTGGCCTGGCCCAGGGTGACTGCCCACAGGGACCGGCTGGGAGACCCGTGTGCTTCTGGCCCATCTGCCCCTGGGGTGGGTGGGGACTGGTGACACGTGCGCCGCCCCACGCAGACGCAGACGTGGTGGGCAGGACGGGGTTTGAAGCAGACACTGTCGGAGCCTGTGCTGCACTCTGCTGCCACCAGGGGGAGGAGGTTGGGGGGTCGAGGGAGGAGAAGGAGGTTATGGGGGGGCTTTAGGAGCTTGGCGGGTGCCCAGCGTGTGCCCAGCGCTGAGGAGCGGTCAGCCGCCAACCTCTCCGCCTCAGGGACTTCAGTGCATAGCGGGGCCAGGGGGACAGCCGTCGCAAGGCCCCTGGCAGGACTGACGGGAGGAGGCGCTGGAGGGGTTCGGCCCAGGCCTGGTCCGGGGGCCCATCTCAGTTAGGGGGCTTCTGCCAGGCCGGGAGCGGCTGCAGTGACAGGTCCGGCTGTGGGCAGGGCGCCGCCTGTCCAGCAGAGAGGGCCCCCAGCAGGGGCAGGCCAGCCGGCCCCACAGAGACTAACAGCGTCAGGCTGGGGTGGGGGGGTCGGTCCTTCAGCACGCAGGCCACACCCACAAGGCTGCTCGTGTCCCCATTTTAGAAGCTCGGACACCAGGGCTCAGGGGTGCAGCCACAGGTGCGAGGACAGAGCGGGGCGCAGCCCCACGACCCTGACCTGCCCCCGGCTCTCCCGCAGCCCAGCGGAGGGCGGGTGCCTGGGGGACACGCTGCAGGGGGGGGACCCGGCACCTCACCGTCGTTGTTGGTGTCCATCTGCCTGAAGATCTTGTCCGTCCGTTTCTCCGGAGTGGACTCGTCCTCCGGCATCTTCATCACCGAGGACACCATCTTGTAAATAGCCTGCAAGGGCACATGGGGGCGTGAGCTCAGATTCCGGAACATTCCTGGCGCTGGGGCAGGAGTGAGCTCCCGTCCAGCCCACACCTCGGCGCGGAGAGGGGGGATGCTCGCCGGCCCCCAGGACCCCCAGCTGGAGGCACGGCCCTGCCATTCGCGGCACCCGGCTGAGGATCACGGGTGGGGAGTCGGGCAAAGGGAGCCGGACACGGTGATGGTCAGAAGAGGGGGGCCGCCTGGGGGGAGGTGCCCAGCAGGCGCGTGAGGGAGCCTTCGGGGGGCTGGGAGCGCCCGTAGCTCCCCGAGGGGGTGACGCAGGCCGGTCTGTACAGCCCCTCCCGCTGCACACACAGTTGGGAGCGTCTCACTGTGACGGCTGGACCTCAGTTCAGAATAGACTCCGCCCCTGATCCTGGGAGAACCACAGCGCCAGCCCAGCCGGGGCAGTCGGGGCGCAGGGTGCACCAGTCGCCAGCAGGATGGAGGACCCCTCCTCAGGCACTGCCATCGAGGGCTCAGCCCCAGGGTCCCACCAGGCAGGGGCCGTGCGTGGTGTGTGTGTGCGCGCGCGCGTGTGTGCGTGTGCGTGTGTGTGTGTGTGTGTGTGTGTGTGTGAAGGGCCTCAATCAGGCCACTGACCAGCAACTCATCAGTCACGTGCCGGGTGGGCACATGTGGGCTCGGTGCCCGTTCCCGAGCCTGCGCCGTGTGTTCTGTGTGGAACCAACTACAGGGGACCTGGGTGGCCACACCTTTGCTCACGGAGCCCTGAGGGCCGGGCCGGTGGAGAGCGCCTCCTCCAGGACGTCTAGAGCTGAATCCGCGGGTGGGGGGAGGGGAGTGGGGTCTGATGGCGGGCCTGGCCCTGAGGGCCCTCTGGGGCTGCACATCGCTAGGCACCAGGAAAGCCAGCACACGGTCCCTCCGGAACCGTCACGCCGCAGAGCCCTCGACGACGGGAAGGCAGAGCGCGGCCTCTCACAGGTGCGGCCGCTGATGTCCGTCTGCCTCACAAGTGCACGTTCCGGGGGGCACTGCCAGCTGCCGGGGCCCCTCAAACCGGGACTCACAACTGTCAAGGGTCCCCTGAATCACTCAACACTCAGCTGCTGATTCTCAGGAAACCTCCTCCGAGCCTCAGCCTGTGGGACGTGCAGGGAGTGGCCCTCCTGAGGGCTGTGGGACCCAGCTGATGGCCAGCACGGACTCGCCCTTAAAGTGACAGCTGCTCACTGTCAGGAGGGCACGCCAGAGGGCAGGCACCACCTGGA